ATACATACATGATTCTTGCGCAGATCACATCGATAGACAGCTTTAGACTATTTTTTTAAGTTATTGCTCAAATTTTGTCTTCATACAACAGGTCTTATGTCTAAATACTCGCAGCGGTTGTATGGAACCCGGTTTCCTGACCGGCATTTGTTTCAATACTGAATAAAGCTTTCTGACTCGCAGCTGATTCTCAGCCTCTGCTCCTTGTATGTTAAATCACCCCAGCTCTAAATCGTGAGATATTCCTACGGGAGTCAGCCAGAAAAAAGGCCATAACATAACTGGGCCCACTTAAGCCTCCCGCCGGAACCCGCAAGGAGTAGATTTACATTGAAGAGTGTCAACCCCGATGCGAAGGGGTTTGCACTCTGCCATGATGAACAATGGTTGTCTATCTGGTCTATCGCGTTAATGAGATACAAGCCCATATGCTCACGCCCCTCACAGATCTAGGGACGTGCAAGATGTGTTTTTTTTTGTGACAGTGATTACGGCCGCCGCATCTAACATACAAGTGTTATTTTATGCATGAGAGTCGGCAGATGCTCTTTGGTCTTCGAGCTAATCGCAGTTACCACTGTTCTAAATGGAAAAGGAAACTTTTGCTGCCAGTAATTCCTCTCTTCTCGGTGAACGGATCTTGCATTGAACCAAATGTTAGGCGCAATTGCACGAACCGCGCTACTGATTAAACTGTCCCATTTGGCTCGTTTTAATAACAGTTTAGTTCCAGGGCGGGGGAGCCAAGTGTTCCTTCGTGTTTTTCCTATCCTATGTTCTGCACTTAAATCATTAAGCACTACCGGCCTTTAAACCCGATGTACCTGGTTTAGAACTCTGCCAAAATCCTGTCTTTAGATGAAGTGGATAACGTCTAGGTAATGGGAGAATCATAATTACTAGTGAAGTCGTCGGATGCAAACCGGCTCGGAACGGATGCTATTGTTTTGGTTATGTTCGTGTATAAATGACTAAGTAGTTTGAAACGATGATCCAAGGTGCGACTAATGCGTGGCTTTGTCCTGTATTCGTTTCGTTAATCTTCATCGACACCCAAGATTCAAAAAATGCGGAAAAAGCCTATCTTTAAGCTGTTGGCATCAAACAAATTCTTTTATATAGACATACAAAAACTTGACAATCACTTTGGGGCATTTTTGACTTTGCTGGGCACGCTAACCTATTTTTTTTTTTTATATAATTTAATTAGTACAACATGTGCTAATTAAGTTATATAAAAAAAGTTGTATACTTATACCAATGATGCCCGATCGAAATGATCGATTCTTTTAGAAGGTGTTATTTTTATAATTAACTTAGATTTTCGACAGTGTCAAGCTTACCGTGCGCTACCGTTTAGATATATAAAGTTCTAAAGAAAGAACTGTAAACGACAGAATTGACTGTGGTAGTGGTAGAATAGCCGAACAATTAAATCGCATCCTTTCCTCTAGCAAGGAACAGATAGCCGAATGCGCCAGACAAGAACTATGACCCAGGTAGTACAATTATTGGACACTGGTGGTAATATTACTAGAATGGTTATCGAGCCGTCGCAGTAAATGTGGTGGATTCTTGGATTGTGTCGATATCCGAAATGTTTCATAAGAAAGCTCAAATGTAGACCTTTCTTGTCCTATCGAGTTATATTTGCTCTAACCGCTGCACTCGCCCGTACCATCAAACCTTTCTCAATGTCAACAACAATGCATCCATTCAGTATTTGTTATGAAGGAGCTCGCTGGTAAGTGAAATCTCATACAGTTTCTGGTCCCAGCCGCTGTTGAGTCAAGTTCTCTAGCTCTGAGTGATTTTTTACGAAGTGAAATTGAATTGTAAGTATTCCTACCAGGCTAGACATGTTAGCATTCAGTGAAATCTTTTTGTCGACTCGGATTGACCTGGATGTTGTCGAATTAGCGTTGACTGAACTTCAAATGGTTTCAATAATTGCGTCATGCGTATGGCCTGCATTTCATAGAAAAGTAGGATCAATTTATGACAAGTACTAAGGCTCTGATTGGCTTTCGTTGTGTGGTGACGTTGAAATTGGCACCTAAGGACTAAGGTGTCATGTTCATGACATTGTCGAATTTGTAGACAGGACATATAAAAAGAAATGCTCAGCGACGTCAAAAAAAGAAAACGATTCGAGTAAAGTAGGCCCAGGCAGTTTTAGGCTGAACCGGTCCGTGCTGGTTTACACGAGAGCCATCTCCTTACTCTATTTATGCAAGTTGATAGTTTTATATACAGGATATAATAGTCGAGTGTAGTTTGAAGATGACTGTTAAGGTTAATCGTTACTCATTAGAGGCAAGAGCGCAAGGTCGAACTAACCAGAAATTTTACCACTACCTAGTACAGCCAACTCTTTAGATAAAGATAACCGTTATTAGCGGCTATCTGTTTTCTAGAGTTATGCTACTGCTACTATGTACCGTCGCATAAATCGGCCAGTGATATCGGCAGTTTTTATTTTCGGCCGTTGGGATTAGCCTAAGTTAAAGAGTACTTTAGATGGCTTGAGTGCTATTGTGAATCGAATTAATTATATCTAGTTAAGAGGTAGTTTATATACCGACGCTCTATACAATATTATAGTGATACAAATGGAGTGTGGTCTGATTGAAAGTGTTAAGCCTGTGCCTCAATTATCTTGCGGTGTAGTGTATGCAAGCGTAGATGAAAATTCGCTCAGGGACTCCGAAGAACCTTCAGCTCAAAGATGCTGCACGAAGAGACCTGAAATTTCCTATTCTTCACAGTAATGTTTAGGGCACCCATAACCGAATCTGTTTTCTTTACAGAATGCATTTTCCTGTGCACGGTATATAGTATCTGAACAGCCATACACAGAAGACAGCGGCACAGTGTCCACAATAAACTGTCCATTTGTTCATTTTACCATGTCTACGTAAACGTTGGAACTCCTACTATGATCTCTATTGCAACGAAGAGTTCAATCTTCCTATTTAGACTCGCTCATCGAAACGATAGACATACGTAAAAAGGCGCATACTCGTTCTACTTTAGTCCAATCAAGGAGAAGCTTTTTGAAATACCGTCCTATAATCTCAAAAACCTTTGAAGTTAACTAGCGAATCATACGCTGATTCTATATGTTTAAAACCCCTTCTTTAATTCTATAGTGTCCGCGAGGCGTTATTTCGCAAGTAAAGTAAGATAGCTATATGGCATTTTTCAGCATTAATGGGTTTCCTATTTGTACTTTTTTTCTTTCGTATCAAACCAAGGTTCATTAAACCTGATCACTCTTTGCGCCCGTTGAGCTACAAAATATGCTATCGGCATCACGACTCGCCGTATCGGCGCTCTGCCGCCAGGCGGTGCGGATTTCACCGAAAACAGCTGGCCTGCTCAGGACACCGCAGGCACAGGGTCACCCGATGAGGCAGTTCATGCAGCAGCAGCGCACCAACCGCCTCGAGAAGATTATCGAGCGTCGTAAGACCCTCAAGGAAATGGCCATGTCACCTGCTACGGACGCACGTCAGTGCTTATAATATACGCATAGTGTATAGTTAAAGAGAATGCTACCATGTTAATAATTATTGATGTGTAATTATGACTATTCATATAGCCTAAATAGAGAGATTGCACAATTATTTTTAGCAGACGCTGCTGGTATCATGAAATGCTGTATAAGAAAAAGGCTGACGGTGTATTGCAGAGCTACTTATTTTTGTAGACATAGACACATTATGGCCATTTAATTTACAGAAGATTCAATTAACACCGGATTCACAATTTTATGCTATAAAATTGTATATTACGCCACAGGTGTGACTAAATTAAGAGATAGCAACGCATGATCCATGCAATTATCGTATTATTAACTTCTGTAGCATAGTTCTGACAGCAAATATTATTTTTCTTTTATGTGCCCTTCATTTCATGGCAGTCTTCGGTGTCCAGTCGCTTGTTGTGCTGTTCGAGCCAATTTAATTAATATAAAATTTAGCAGAGCGCACTTGGCTTTTCCTGCTTAACCGATATTAAACTACCTCTTTTGTGCTTTGCTTGTCAACCGTTAGCTTTCAACGCAGGCAAAGGGCTGCTTGCTGGCGCATCTCTTGTCGGGCTGGGCGCTCTAGTGTACTACGGCGCAGGAATGTCGAATGGCGTGGGAGCCATAGATAAGGCGTACGTCTGGCCTCAGTACGTAAGAGATCGCGTACGCGACACTTACATGTATTTTGGCGGAAGTCTTGTTGTAACAGCGGCTTCGGCGGCGATGGTTCTCCGCAGCCCGGCCATGCTTCGTTTGATGACTCGCAACTCGTTTCTAGTGAGCACGAACCTTCAACACCACTTTTCTATTATATTCTTAAAAATATTCTTTGAAACAGGCTTATTCACGCATTTACTATACAAATAAAGAGTAAATGAACACGAAGTATCTCATTTTACTATTATATGTAACATACATATATTAAAGATAGAAAATATCTAGCAGTATTTATAAATAAATGTAAATATTTAGAAATTATAAATATTCGTAAACATTTAGTAGAAAAACATCCTTTTTTAAGGGATTATAGATTATTACTGGTTCGGCTCAAATCCTCGTCTTCTGTTATCTATTAGAATACTTCGAAACGATTTAGAACTTAGAGACATGGCGTTCACAAAACTTTACATAAATATAGCAGAATAGCATAATTTTTTTTATTGTTACAGGCGTTAGCAGGCACATTAGCTGCGATGGTTGGCTCCTCAATGGTGGTACATGGAATCCGATATAAGCCCGGTTTCGGCGCCAAGCAGTTGGCCTGGATGGGCCACTGCGGTGTCATCGGTGCTGTTATTGCACCATTATATCTTTTGGGCGGCCCACTTGTGTTGCGTGCTGCTGTCATGACCGCCGGCGTTCTTGGTGGCCTCTCAACGGTCGCCGCCTGCGCACCATCTGACAAGTTAGTTGAACTCTTAACAAAAGCGAAGTGTATCGTGATGAAGTATATGGTGTCCCTTAAAATCACGGTTCTTGACGAGATGCTAAATTTAACCGTTAAGTCACAAATGAAAAAATCTTCCGCCAAAGTACGACTTATCCAAGTCTATAGCCAACTTAGTTGGATAGACGTTAAGCAAGTTACAACGAATGTTGAACTAAGTTGCAACTAGGTAAAAGAAAAACACAAATTATCTTAATTATTTGTGTGACCATGTGGCTCCGTGACATTTATTTAGACTTTCACCTAAATTTACTCATGATTGTATTTCATTTCAGTTCCCTAAGTCCAAGCGAGCTAGTTTGGTCATCGTTATATAATAGTAGCTGGTTTAATTCCGTCGACAGAAGCCAAAATATGAAATATTGTTATTAGTCTTATATTACTGATGGGCGACTTGTGTGTGGAATGAATGTAGGTTTCTCTTAATGGGTGCTCCTTTGGGAATCTGCTTTGGAGTAGTGTTTGCCTCTTCTATGGGCACATTCTTCCTGCCTCCAACGACCGCTCTTGGCGCTGGCCTCTATTCAATCAGCCTCTATGGTGGCCTGGTATTGTTCTCGCTCTTCTTGTTGCACGACACACAGAGGATAATCAAAAAGGTGGGTCTAGAATTAGATCAATAATTCAGTTATCATTTGTGCACTGGATTGTTGAGGATGATCAACAAATTTAAATTGAGGTATTTTTTACCAATGATGCGCAGTTAAGGTTTTGAATGAATGTCATACGGTCATATTATTTATTCCGCGGCAGATTCAGTTTTTACTCCCTATAGATTAAGTCACCTTGAGTTGAAACGTCAGGTATCGTTCCGGGGCGTTCGCAGGTTTATATATAGCATTGTCAAACACGATATGGAATGCTATAAGTCATGTCTTTTTTTTTTCTCTAACAGATCTACGAAACAGCATGGTATAAACATGACATAATATCCATTTTGCCAATGCTGAAATTTTAACTAGAGATGGCATTTAGAACACCATGGCAACGCACTCAAAGATATGCGCATTGGCCGTTTACACCACGCTGCTCCAGGCATGGTTCTATTTGTGTCGCTATAAACTTACTTTATTGTGCCCTACCATGCTGCCTGTTGCTATAGAAATCTTTAGCGCTACTTATTACGTAAAACAAAACACCATTTGTTTCCGATGGTGCTTGTCACTATCATTTGACCTAGGCATATATAATCAATTGATTGTTCACACTTCCGCTTTTTTAAATGTTTTAATATTTTTTTTTCCTTTATTTGCTTTTATTCTTTTCTTAGGCCGAAACCCATCCTCCGCCGTATTACGGAGGAGTCGTTCCCTACGACCCAGTGAACTCTTCGATGTCCATCTACATGGATACAATCAACATCTTCATCCGGATTCTTATGATTTTAGCGGGCGGCGGCAACCGCAAAAAGTAGAACAACACCAAACATATTTTTTTGATCAGCTAGTGATCGGCGAAGCAAATGGACGGGTTAGATGTCGCAGCGGAAGGGTGATAAAGGCGTTCGGAAGGGAAACAAATGCACCTACAATTTTGATGTCAACCCGTTTAACATCATCACCAGAAACAGCAGACTCCGATAGTGAAAATTGTTTCTAATAATTAGAGAGAAATACAAGATGAAAGCGATTTAGTTGGTTTTTTGTTAATGAAATGCAGATGAGCGGAGAGGAGGTATCTGCTAGAGTACAGCATTAAAAAGTCAAATCACGGTAGATGATGAGTACAGAGAATGTTCATTACGTATAAATCCTTTGTTTTAATTTTCTTAGAGGTTTGCTTTTTATTCGTTTGGCCAGTTATTTTTGGCGATATGTAGATGTTTAAATGTTCGAAGAAACCATATGAGCATTTTGATTGAAAATCTGGGATATCTACAAAGCAATATGGCTTAAATTAGGTGGAGCCTCGATTTTTGATTTAGGATATCGCGTATCGTTTACTCGTAGGAAGACATGTATGCAGAAGGCAGAGCAAGACTTGTCAGACGAGTTAGAGAAAAGTTAAGTGAACGGAAGTCATGGCATCTTGAGCAGCGCTGCCGCTGTTGCCGAGCGGTAAAGAATAGATACCAACAGCGATGATATTTTAAAAATAAAGCTAAATGCTAATAAACGTGTTGTATCTAGGATAGGGGTGTTATTTTTCGATAATGCCGATATGTACGTATATGCATGCTTGTAGTAACACGTTGTTTATTACAGTAATACAATGACACGTCACGTATTATCTATTATGAATTATCACCTGAGAAATGATAGGGAGATCGCTGGGTGATGGGGTCTTAATAATTACCTTGGGTTGTTGTTTTCGTACCTATACTGAGATCCTTTTTAAAAAATATTCATTCGAGCTTTATTACAAATCTCGTGGGCTCTTTTTCTAGAAGGCTTATAATTGTCGGAGTCCATTGATGAATTGAAGTCAGCCTTCAGTGCACTTCTAATCACAGCATTGCTAGTTTTTGATTGCTCGTTTATGATACACCGCTCGAACTCTTCTATGCGCAAATAAATGTATCTAATCGATGAAAGGTATTACCTTCCGATTATGTTTTATGGAATGTCTCAACAGAAATATTTAGAGAGCTGACGTCTTTGCATCAAATAGAAATACCATGGGCGAATTCAAAGCTGTATATCTTGATAATGAGGACGTAAGCTTTCTTATCAAACAGTGAAAAATTCTTTCAACAATAGATAAGTGTACTTGTTTCATGCATAGATACACGTTTTTAATTTAGTATTGTACTGCTACATAGTTTGACTTGTTGAAAGAAGCGAACATTAGTCTCTAGGATTTTTCAATACAGCGATAGCTTCAATAATTTTATATCATACAATTTATAGTATTATTACTTAAAACGACCGCATGTCATTTTGTAGCAATAAATACACATCACTTTGAATTCACTTGCCATCTAATACGTAGAAAAGTTTTTAAGCATTGATTACGCATCACCTTACTGTTGAACCTATCTAGTGTGAATATGGCAATTGCACAACAAATAATATGATCTGTTTATATTATCCATATCTTAGCATATCTCTAGATACGTACATCTGAAATAAGTTAGTTTAACATGCTTTTCTACACCAACTTGAGCTATATCTGGCGTTAGCAAAGAGACTATTAGACATTAACAAATACGGAAGTATCTCCGCCAAGTCCGATTATTATATATGCAAAAAATAACTTTTTTCATTCACACAGGTTGTGTAGTATGTGTAGTTGGCGGGATTACAACGGCTAATTTCCGCCTATTTCGTATTTTGTTAGCCCTTCGCGTATCGTTCTGGTCCTACTTGTGCAATTACCCGCAAATTTTGTTTGTTCCGTGATGCAGAATGACCAACTTGAACAGCTTGTTCCCTCGTTGGATTCAACGCTGCCTTCTTTCGCGGTTCTCTGCAGGACTAACCCAGAACAGCGCGCTTTAATCTGCGGGTATGCCCTTTTCTACTTGTCGTCGCGACGGAGGTCACAATTTCAAACAAAGGCGTCCTTTTCTATCGGCGCATTAACTAACGTTTATTATTGGTAACACAATAAAAAAAAACTCCGCTTTCTCTAGGTTGCTGGATAGAATAAGCTTTATCGTGAAAGGCTGTGCTCGCCGGCATTTCTAAGTATCTTGTGATCTATCTGTGCGTTGCTAATTATTATTGCATCTATAAGGTGTGCATATGAGTGTGTAATGAAACATTGGAAATTTCTTTTATCCCTGTAGTTTTTGGTGTAAAAACAGCTTCTTCTCGCAAGTCACCAAAAAGCGCAGTGTTGGATACATTAAGAAGCGTATCTAAATGATTTGTCATTAGGCCAACAGATTGTTGAAACAGAAAGATCGACTGCCAGGTTTGCCTTTTGTCAAGCAACAGCGTTGCATTTTTGTGGCCGAGCAACCGAAGTGTTTGCTCATTGCCATTTGTCTCGGAAGCGTTGAGATGGAAAACCACATTGCTACCAACTTTCGCCTCGTGTCCGAGCGTGTGGCAAACGCAGCGAGACTTCAGCCGCAAACTGTCAGGCTCGTCGCGGTATCTAAAACCAAGTCGAAGGTTCGTTGCTACATTTTTTTCGCTTTTTGTTGCTGGACCACATTCTCACCCAAAAAAAAGTGTCCTACACAATGTAATACTAGGAAGTTTATATAAAAAGAGCAGCTGAATAAACATAAATTAGAAATAATGTTGCTACGACGAAACAATGTCGCCCTTATTATAGCATTTCTCTTTAATACAAATCTGGCATGGACGATTGCTTGCTAGAAAAGCTTTATTATGGCAACAATATTTTTGCTGTATGAAAAATATAAACCTACACTGTACGTTTACTGTGAAATTCGCCAATCTGGTCGAATGTACGTCGTCACTGGTAAATAACTAAAGATACAATTTGTGGATTTGTAACTAATTAGGTTAATGAAAGTTCCCATTAAACTTAAAGACATGTCAGCACTATTATGGAGGTGTTTTTGTGTTTTTTCATCCAAATATAGGTTTTCTATCGGCTTGTATAAGATCTGAACCGTGTTATGTGAGGTGCCATCTTTTAATATATTACTATTTTCTATTTTTTCATCGTTTCCAATTCGTAAACAACTGGTGCTGTCCTAGCCGAGCACCTGCTTATTAACTGCGACAGTCTTTTATTGAATTGATGATATCTCTTGTCCGTATAAAAACTTCTATGAACGAAAACGATTTACTTTATAATTAGACACGAACAAAGAAAACTTCCTGTAAGTAACTGAAACCTCTTCAGTATCCCGGAGCTTTGGCATCCATGAAACCGCGAAGAAAAGACTATATATTCTACCATCAGTTCCAGTTGAAGCCATTGATTGTAAAAAGGCAGGATTTATAGTCATTTACTAGCAACTACTATTGCATAATAACCTATTGAAGTTTTACAGAACTGTAATCGAATTTCAAGCAATCACATTGCAGCAAGGGTCTATGTGCAACATAGTGGTGTTGATCGCAGTGCTAAATTATTTCCTTTTCTGTAAACTATTAGAACTTGATATGGTTTATTTTAAATAATGAGACAATAATAATAATAAACACTCTGCTAATTATGAAGTTAATCGCCTTTATTAGAAAGGAAATCTTCTTATGTCAACATACAACGCTTTTCACTGTCCCATTAGCCTCGGAAGCACCTTTGAGTAGTTCATATATGGGGCACAGTTTCTAAGCTGTAAGCCGTACAAGTCGAGCACAATGTTGGAACATCCCATAATTACGCCGTCATCAACACCGACATTTTATTTGTTAACTAATTTACCTCTTTTCCCTTTATATATGGATGTAACTCAAAAAAGATAGTCAGTGACGATTCACGAGTACGAGATCGTGATTTTGAAGCAGCGGTATTTTTTAAAAATATGCATTCTATATAATAGTGAATTAAACTGAGTTGGGTAAAGCGTCATCATGTCGATTTTTAGTAATTTTAACGGACACAAGTTTAATGTCTCTGAAACTGATATTTGGACTAGCAATTGCAATTGTGTTAAACGCGTACACTCTTCTATTTGATTCGTTTACTAAATTATTATAGTAGAAGTAAAATGGCGATGTACGCTGTTACTGGGCGGTCCCGAAACTCTTCCCGTGGAAAGTAATAGGACTGGCAGATGTGCACGAATACGTTTTCGTTCGTGTTAGCCAAGATCATCCAAATAGAGATTTACGGTATCCTACTATCGGTGTCGCTGTAGAATGTGACCGACCTAACCTGAAGAGGTTATCGTGTTTCCACGTCGATTTGTTGAAGGGGAGAGTATTGCCACCATAAGGCAATAGCTTCATGATGTCTCATAATTTTTTTATGAGTATTTCGCCTTGAAGAAAAGCAGTTGCGTATAGTTATACCGAAATGAACTAGTTCCAATTTTCGATTGTAAGGTACTTAGTTTGTTTGATACTCTATGACCCAAGGGTAAGACATTGGCTTTAGAGCTAATACTAAAGGTGTTAGACCTTGTTGACATGACACAGATACTAACAAGATTCGTTTTTACAACAAAATCCGGATATTGCCGAAAAGAGAACAAGCTCAATACAACTGGTTTCCGAGATCGGTCAAGTGGCAGAAAAAAAAGCTTCTTAATTTTCAGGTTTCTACAATGATCGGTTTCACGTTAATAAAATACATATGCATCGTTCAATTCTATGAACTTCTGGTTGGTGTGTATTGTACGTTCCGTTAATTGTTTGGATTCATAAGAAGTTTGCAGGATCGGTGGGCTAGTCTATAGGCTTAAAAAATACAAAATGTCAAATCGTAACTATCGTTCAATTCAAATCTTCCTGCTCACATTCATGTATGCTGGTATCCCGCTCAATTGCACGCGTAAGGCACAGAATTACCGGTCTGCGATTTGATCCTCCGCCCCATACAGCCGGAGATATCTGAACATCTGGACGAGACTATAGTGAAACTTAAGTCCTGCGTGTTTCAAGTATACAAATAAGCTGTACTGTAATATAAACTCAGCTTTTGGGAGCATGATTGCTGATCTATACGTTTGGATAAAATCGAATGGCACCGTTGAATCGGGATGGCGGTAAGAACGTATCAAGTTCAAACAGAGCATTCTTATGTGAGCTCAAACAACTAACGTACTGCATTGTTACATGCAGCACAATGTACCGTTACAGCTCGGAATCGATTATACCTATCCATTTACACATCTAAAAAGAGAACCGAAATTGGTTCTTTGTTTTGGTGTGAAAATACAGACGCAAATAACAAGTCGATAATCGAGATATTGCTTTTAAGCAGCTTATGACATTCGTATTAGTGGTTATTATGGCAGTCCTTATTTGCTGATTCCACAGAGTACGAATGGATTCAATCTTGCTTAGTTCACCCATTTATCTTATCGAACGCTGACGTCTTTCTGGAGTCCTCAGTATTGTGCCCATGTAAAGTGCTCGTCAGCCACTCACTTGGTCGTTGCCATTTTGGTAGCTGTTAAAATGTTCATAATTTAATATCGTTTAATCGGTTAAGACCAGTATCGCAAATGACTTCTCCAACCAAATACTTTCAACACAGTTATGTTGCACCGTTGTATTTTGCCAGGGTTGTTGAGTTCGTTCGGCTTTTTAGCTTACGCTTGTAGCATATTGAATCACTCCGGACCTAAGCCGTTAGGTGTTATTATGGGGCGTCATCCAGAAAAAGGCTCACGGCATAATTGGGCCCAGTTCAGAGTTCTGTCGAAACTTGTTTGGGCTTTTCTCAGCAGGTTAATCAACCAGCACGATCGTAATGTAGCATAATAACCATTGGCCAACTTCGAAATACGAGCCAGAAGTAGCTGCAAGGTTATGGTTGTCATGGCAATGCACTCAAAGAGATACGCACTAGCCGGTCAGACGGCGTAGGCTCATGTAGTCTATTGCTTTGCCAAACCACTCCACAGAGCGAAGTTACTTCGCCGACCCTGGGTACCCGGCTTGGTAGGCAAAGCTGCTATCGCTTGCACTAGGGACAATTGCGGAACAATCTATTTCTTATCTAGATCACTTTTCGTTATGTTTTGGATGGCGGTCGCTTGATTTTTCTTGCTCTTGCAGCTCTAATTTTTTCGCACGCGGTTTTACTGGATTGGCTCGCCGGCCCACTCATAAATTCGACATTTAGCGAGCGGCACTTATTGACCGCCATATTGGCAACTTTGAACGCACTAACAAGGCCACGCCAACTGTGGCCATTATGGAGTTGTTTGTGTTGCCTATCCAATAACGTCGCACTTTTCTTGGATTTCATTGGCTTCGTTTATGCTTTCATTGTTAAATGGCAAAGAGAGCAGATGTTTGCTCGTTGTGAAATTTTTAATTTACACAAACAGGGCTGCACAGCCTGATCTGGAGTGAATAGTGGCCAGTGCCCGCATGGCTGTAGTCTGGCTGTTTGTCCATCATCATTCAGGGTGGCCATTATGCTATGGCTTTGGGTCAAAAAAAAATCAATAAAATACCCAGGTCCGGTCGGCTAAAAGTCGACACGTAACGTGGCTTGTGGTTCCGTATTCGCGTGCCCGCTTGCTCTTCATAGAAGAAATAAATTTCAAGGTATCACAAGAAAATGGGCCTGAACTTCGAGAGAACAGGCCATTGGTCCTATACCCCGACAATGCGCCGCTTGACTGACTGTTAATTGTACGGTGTTTCGCTGTAGAATAACTCGACATCTGTGTTGCCTTTGTTTTGCGGTATATCTGATTTTTTTCTTTGCAGAGCTCAAAAAACGCTTGAAATTTAAGAAGAAAGCTGCATTGAAACGGCTGAGCGAATTAAGTTTTCTACTGAATTTAGAACAACTTAGAAATTTTTCCACTGAGTCCGGCGGGTACTAAGGGGGGAGAATTGCGGCCTAAATATTTGAGGCGTACACGATTCGTACAAAGCCCAATTTGCCCAGTAATATTACGGATTACTTTTATTATTGCTACTGATAATATTACTGATTGCGAGGGCTGCTCCTTTTTGTTCTTGTCGGCTATGGTGGCATTTTAATTTGCACGCAAGGCAGTGTCTTTTGCTACAGGAACTTAGTGTGTGGGCTCAACTGTATTCCATGAGCATTTCCGTAAAATACAATGAAACTTTCGTATGCAGTATTTACTACTAAAACGAATTTGATTTCAATAATATTAAATGCCATGTGATAAAAATGTAAATATGCGATTGAACACGTTGAAATATCATATTAGAATTAGTGACACCACAATCGACGGTAGATGCTGTAGTTGCAACTGCCTGCACCGTTCCTACATCATGAGTGTATGCTATGACACAGGTGCATAAGTACCTCAACTGCGTAGTTTTTGCCAATCTGAAACGTAGTTATACGTCGTGTAGGGCGACCCATTTCGTTCTGCTATGAAGAACGAAGCTCTTTCAAATAGCGCCAATTCGTGCGCACTCGATAATGTCCCACTAATGATTTACAGACAACCATATTTATTCTAATGGCATTAGATTCCTTGGCATTTTTTTTTAACAGTTCACGAGTCCCTGCAACCTAGACTCGACGAGCT